ATATAGTCTGTGCAGGATATAGTTATGTACATTTATTGATTTAGCTTTTTAATGCACTGTGATTTGAATTCTTCTTGTTTGTTCAGAACTTTGAGTCGTGTATACACTGTGCTATACAAATAAACCAGCTTTACAGTGAACTCGTAGTGCGTCTAACTGAGGAGCAAACCGATACAAACAGCTCGGTTCATTGTTTTTGCTCTGAAGAGGAGAAAGTAGCAGCGTAAAAGGGCTGGAAAGTCTGGTTCTTTGGTCGGATACAAACAAACCACCGGCTGTTGGAAGAGGCTGTTTAATGGAAAGGTGCAAAATGCTCTGCTTTGTTTTCGGCTGTAATCATCAAAGTTTACACGACGCATTAGCTTTTCCCACAGCTTCAGTTTCTCACGCTCCATCCTCCCCTCACTCGTGAACAAGACCCCGAGATACTTGAACTCCTCCACTTGAGGAAGGACCTCTCCACCCACCTGCAGAGGGCAAGGCACCTTTTTCCGGTCGAGCACCATGGCCTCGGATTTGGAGGTGCTGATTCTCATCCCAGCCGCTTCGCACTCGGCTGCAAACCGTCCCAGTGCATGCTGCAGGTCCTGGTTCGTTGGAGCCAGCAGGACGACATCATCCGCAAAAAGTAGAGATGAAATCCTGTGGTTCCCCGAACCGGACCCCTCCGGCCCCTGGCTGCGCCTAGAAATTCTGTCCATAAATACAGTGAACAGAACCGGTGACAAAGGGCAGCCTTGGCGGAGGCCAACATTCACCGGGAACAGGTCTGACTTACTGCCGGCAATGCGAACACAGCTCTGACTCCGGTCATACAGGGACCGGACGGCCCTCAGCAGAGGACCCCGGACCCCGTACTCCCGGAGGACCCCCCAAAGGACACCCCGGGGAACACGGTCGAACGCCTTCTCCAAATCCACAAAGCACATGTGGACAGGTTGGGCAGAACTCCCATGAACCCTCGAGTATCCGATGGAGAGTATAATAATAATAATAATAATGCATCGGTTTTATATAGCGCTTTTTTTGGACACTCAAAGACGCTTCACATGTGTCATTATTCATTCACTCCAAACACGGTGGTGATAAACTACTAATGTAGCCACAGCTGCCCTGGGGCACACTGGCAGAAGCGAGGCAACCAGTATGTGCCATCGGCCCCTCCGACCACCACCAACCATTCACACACACACCAGACTCATTCTAGGCAATGGGGGTGAAGTGTCTTGCCTAAGGACACAACGGCAGTTTGGCACTTTACAGCCGCAGCCGCCCCACTGTGGCTGGTGTTCCCAGAGGTTAAGTGTCTTGCCAAGGACACAACGACAGTAGTCAGTGGGAGTCGATGGTGAAAGTCTTGAGCGGGGCTTGAACCCACGACCTTCTGGCTCAAAGGCCAACGCTCTACCAACTGAGCTACTGCCGCCTCCTGCCGAGTATAGAGCTGGTCCAGTGTTCCGCGACCGGGACGAAAACCACACTGCTCCTCCTGAATCCGAGATTCGACCATCGGACGTAGCCTCCTCTCCAGTACCTTGGAGTAGACCTTACCGGGGAGGCTGAGGAGTGTGATCCCACGATAATTGGAACACACCCTCCGGTCCCCCTTCTTGTAGAGAGGGACCACCACCCCGGTCTGCCACTCCATTGGTACCGCCCCCGATCGCCACGCGATGCTGCAGAGACGTGTCAGCCAAGACAGTCCTACAACATCCAGAGACTTTAGATAGTCAGGACGGATCTCATCCACTCCCGGCGCCTTGCCACCATGGAGGCTGCCAACCACCTTGGTGACCTCGGCCAGGGAGATGTAAGTATCCGCCCCAACATCCTCAGCCTCTGCCTCCTGGACGGAGGACGTGACGGGGGGATTGAGGAGAACCTCGAAGTATTCCTTCCACCGCCCGACAATATCCCCAGTCGAGGTCAGCAGCCCTCCACCCGCACCATACACGGTGTTGGCAAAGAACTGCTTCCCCCTCCTGAGGCGCCGGACGGTTTGCCAGAACCTCTTCGAGGCCGACCGATAGTCATGCTCCATGGACTCTCCGAACTCCTCCCAGACCCGGGTTTTTGCCTCTGCAACAGCCCGGGCCGCGGCACGTTTGGCCTGCCGGTACTGGACAGCTGCCTCAGGAGTCCCACGAACCATCATTGCTCGATAGGACTCCTTCTTCAGCCTGACGGCATCCCTTACTGCCGGTGTCCACCACCGGGTTCGGGGGTTGCCGCCGGGACCAGCACCAGAGACCTTGCGACCACAGCTACGAGCCGCCGCATTGGCGATAGAGGAAGAGAACATGGTCCACTCGGACTCGATGTCCCCCTCCTCCGCCGGGACCTGGGAGAAGCTCTCCCGGAGGTGTGAGTTGAAAGTCCGTCTGACAGGGGGCTCAGCAAGACGTTCCCAGCAAACCCTCACTACGCGCTTGGGCCTGCCAGGTCTGACCGGCCTCCTGCCCTGCCAGCGGATCCAACTCACGACCAGGTGATGATCGGTTGACAGCTCCGCCCCTCTCTTCACCCGAGTGTCCGAGACACGCGGCCGAAGGTCAGATGATACGACAACAAAGTCGATCATCGACCTCCGGCCTAGGGTGTCCTGGTGCCACGTGCACTGATGGACACCCTTGTGCTCGAACATGGTGTTCGTGATGGACAAACTGTGACTGGCACAGAAGTCCAACAACTGAGCACCGCTCGGGTTCAGATCAGGGGGGCCGTTCTTCCCGATCACCCCTCTCCAAGTGTCACTGGCATTTCCCACATGGGCTTTGAAGTCCCCCAGGAGAATAACGGAGTCCCCGGGCGGTGCACTGTCCAGTACCCCTCCCAAGGACTCCAAGAAGGCCGGGTACTCTGCACTGCTGTTAGGCCCGTAGGCCGTCACAACAGTGAGAGACTTGTCCCCCACCCGGAGGCGGAGGGACGCGACCCTCTCATTCACCGGGGAGAACTCCAACACGTGGCGGCTGAGATGGGGGGCAATGAGTATGGCCACCCCAGCTCGCCGCCTCTCCCCGCGGGAAACTCCAGAAAAGTGGAGCGTCCAACCCCTCTCAAGGAGTTGGGTTCCAGAGCCCAAGCTGTGTGTGGAGGTGAGGCCGACTATCTCTAGTCGGTATCGCTCAACCTCCCCACAAGCTCGGGCTCCTTCCCCCCCAGTGAGGTGACGTTCCACGTCCCAAGAGCCAGATGTTGTGTGTGTGGACTGGGTCGTCGAGGTCTCCGCCTTCGACTGCTGCCCAGTCCTCTCTGCACCTCGCCATCATATAAATAAAGTTTCTTATCTTAAAATACAAGCCACAATTAAAGGCTTGGCCGCGCACTATTACAGGTTAGCATTAGGTACAAGTTAGCTTGAATACATGTTCAAGTTAACTGTCTCTGAAATCAGACAAAATATTTAATCAGAACTGCAGAGCTTTTCCCACAGCTTCAGTTGGTCTTTGGGAAACCTAAAGAATGAGCATGTGTCGCGTAAACTGTGATGATTACAGCCGAAAACAAAGCAGAGCATTCTGCACCATTCACTTAAACCGCCTCTTCCAACAGCTGACGGTTTGTTTGTATCCGAGCAATGAACCAGAAGTGCTTCTGGGACGAGACTTTCCAGCCCTAATGGGACTCTTTGGTTTCTCAGGCACCTCCTGTGAGACCGCCATCCCGTGGTTAGGAGTGGGATTACAACATTCTCTTCAAAACTACAACAACTGTGGCTATGTAGGTCCAACTGAGACTGTGTAGGTCCAACTGTGTAGGTCCAACTGTGTAGGTCCAACTGTGTAGGTCCAACTGTGTAGGTCCAACTGTGTAGGTCCAACTGTGTAGGTCCAACTGTGTAGGTCCAACTGTGTAGGTCCAACTGTGTAGGTCCAACTGTGTAGGTCCAACTGTGTAGGTCCAACTGTGCAGGTCCAACTGTGTAGGTCCAACTGTGTAGGTCCAACTGTGTAGGTCCAACTGTGCAGGTCCAACTGTGTAGGTCCAACTGTGTAGGTCCAACTGTGTAGGTCCAACTGTGCAGGTCCAACTGTGTAGGTCCAACTGTGTAGGTCCAGCTGTGTAGGCTAACTGTGTAGGTCCAACTGTGTAGGTCCAACTGTGTAGGTCCAACTGTGTAGGTCCAACTGTGCAGGTCCAACTGTGTAGGTCCAACTGTGCAGGTCCAACTGTGTAGGTCCAACTGTGTAGGTCCAGCTGTGTAGGTCCAACTGTGTAGGTCCAACTGTGTAAGTCCAACTGTGTAGGTCTCTGCTCAGATCACAGCTCAAAGTGAATGTAATGATGGGGAAACAATTATACCACATTCTCGTCTTTTTATTTAACTTTTGGTTGTATATTTCAGAGCCCCCCCCCCCCACACACACACACACACACACACGTTTACACTAATCTAGGAACTCCATTTCCAAAGGGGCTTGTACCTTCCATAACCAGTAAGTCAACTTCTGGCAGAAGATCAGTAGTATTTGACTTTCTCTCTGCGGAAGAAAGATAATGTGATGTTACTGGATTAGACTCTAGCCCCTCGCTATCTGACTGCTACGGACTGAAGGGGGGGGGGGCTCTCCGCACACACACCCCTGTGTCTACAAACACACCTGGGGCAGGGGGGCTCTCTGCACACACACACCTGGGGCAGGGGGGCTCTCTGCACACACACACCTGGGGGAGGGGCTCTCTGCACGCACACACCTGGGGGAGGGCTCTCTGCACACACACACCTGGGGGAGGGGCTCTCTGCACGCACACACCTGGGGGAGGGCTCTCTGCACACACACACCTGGGGGAGGGGCTCTCTGCACGCACACACCTGGGGGAGGGGCTCTCTGCACGCACACACCTGGGGGAGGGGCTCTCTGCACACACACACCTGGGGGAGGGGCTCTCTGCACGCACACACCTGGGGGAGGGCTCTCTGCACACACACACCTGGGGGAGGGGCTCTCTGCACGCACACACCTGGGGGAGGGGCTCTCTGCACGCACACACCTGGGGGAGGGGCTCTCTGCACGCACACACCTCGGGGAGGGCTCTCTGCACACACACACCTGGGGGGGGGGCTCTCTGCACACACACACCTGGGGGAGGGCTCTCTGCACACACACACCTGGGGGGGGGGGGGCTCTCTGCACACACACACCTGGGGGGGGGGGGCTCTCTGCACACACACACCTGGGGGGGGGGCTCTCTGCACACACACACCTGGGGGGGGGGGCTCTCTGCACACACACACCTGGGGGGGGGGCTCTCTGCACACACACACCTGGGGGAGGGCTCTCTGCACGCACACACACACCTGGGGGGGGCTCTCTGCACACACACACCTGGGGGAGGGCTCTCTGCACACACACACACACCCGGGGGAGGGCTCTCTGCACACACACACCTGGGGGAGGGCTCTCTGCACACACACACCTGTGGGGTGGGCTCTCTCTGCACACACACACCTGTGGGGTGGGCTCTCTCTGCACACACACACCTGTGGGGTGGGCTCTCTCTGCACACACACACCTGTGGGGTGGGCTCTCTCTGCACACACACACCTGTGGGGAGGGCTCTCTGCACACACACACCTGGGGGAGGGCTCTCTGCACACACACACCTGGGGGAGGGGGCTCTCTGCACTCACGCACCTGTGGGGTGGGCTCTCTCTGCACACACACACCTGTGGGGGGGGCTCTCTCTGCACACACACACACCTGTGGGGGGGGGCTCTCTCTGCACACACCTGTGGGGGGGGGCTCTCTCTGCACACACCTGTGGGGGGGGGCTCTGCACTCACCCAGGACGATGACCTCGGTGTAACACTCTGTGTTCCCCGTGAGGTCAGAGGAGGAGGTGACGGAGCAGATGTAGACACCACTGTCTCCCCAGGCCGTCTGCCCCAGGTTCAGGTCGGCATCTGACACACAACACAACACAACAGGTCAGGGATACACTACACAAAACAGGTCAGGGTTACACTACACAACAGGTCAGGGATACACTACACAACAGGTCAGGGTTACACTACACAACAGGTCAGGGTTACACTACACAACAGGTCAGGGATACACTACACAACAGGTCAGGGTTACACTACACAACAGGTCAGGGTTACACTACACAACAGGTCAGGGATACACTACACAACAGGTCAGGGATACACTACACAACAGGTCAGGGATACACTACACAACAGGTCAGGGATACACTACACAACAGGTCAGGGATACACTACACAACAGGTCAGGGATACACTACACAACAGGTCAGGGATACACTACACAACAGGTCAGGGTTACACTACACAACAGGGGCTAAAAGAACTCACATAGAGTACTCAAAACAAGTCATCAGTTGTAAGTTAAAAATGTGATTTAAGTATAGTAAAAGTATAGTAAAAGTATAGTAATAGTATAGTAATAGTAATATAGTAAGATTAAATTAAAGTAATCCCTGAGCCTAATCCAGAGTAAAGTCAAATACAGAGTCTGATGAGCTGATGACTGTTTAGGGTCTTTGTGAATGAGCTTTTGATACAGAATGAACCTCTGTTGGTTCAGAAGAACCAGAAGACATTGATAAAGATGAAAATACTCCGGTAACCGTAGCTTCTCTGAATCAGGAGCACTGAATACTCCGGTAACCGTAGCTTCTCTGAATCAGGAGCACTGAATACTCCGGTAACCGTAGCTTCTCTGAATCAGGAGCACTGAATACTCCGGTAACCGTAGCTTCTCTGAATCAGGAGCACTGAATACTCCGGTAACCGTAGCTTCTCTGAATCAGGAGCACTCACCGTTGAGGATGCTGATCTTGCGGCCCTGATACTCCGGGCCCAGGGTTACGGTGGAGCCGTCTTTGGACGCCACATTGCGCACCGTGCGTTGGGAATCGGCGCACTCGATGTTGGGGTCGTAGTTGGGGTTGTTCTGGGCCAGGATGTTCTCGGCGCTGTTGGGGTTGAGCGCTGCCTGCACTGGGTCCCTGCAGTAGGACTTGTACTTCCACAGAACCACAGGGCGCTGACTCGAGGACTGGTATTTACAGTCCACCGTGACGGGCTGGAACAGGATCGCCACAATCCTCTTCCTCGGACACTCCACGGTTATCGAGGCGCAGAAGTCTGAGCAAAGAGAGACACATCTTTAATCCACTCAGTTAAGCCCTAAATCATAGAAGCAGATCAGAAAACAGTTCAAACACAAAGATCTAAAAGGTTCATATGAGCTTCATGTCTTTGGTGGTTCTTAAGTTCCATGTATTTTCTTGGTTAGAAGTTAGAGGACGAGTTAGAAGGTAATGCATCCAACTTTCTCCAAATCAACACAAAACACAGTTCAAACACAAAAAATGCATTCATTTCATCCATTTTCCTCCGCTTCATCCGTTGCCGGGTTGTGGGGGCAGCAGTCTAAGCAGAGACGCCCAGACTTCCCTCTCACACACTTCCTCCAGCTCGGGGGGACCCCAAGGCCTTCCCAGAGAGAGATATAGTCTCTCTGTGTCCTGGGTCTTCCCCGAGCCACCTCAAATGGTTCCTTTCGACGTGGAGGAGCAGCGGCTCCACTCTGAGCTCCTCCCGTGTGACTGAGCTCCTCTATCTCTAAGGGAGCAGCCACTCTGTGGAGGAAGCTCATTTTGACGTTTGTATCCGCGATCTCGTTCCTTTGGTCATTACCCAAAGCTCATGACCAGAGGTGAGGGAGCTTTGACTGCAGACGCTGCTCCCTCTTCACCACAACGGTCCGATACAGCGACCGCATCACTGCGCACGCTGCACCGATCCGCCTGTCAATCTCACGCTCCATCCTCCCCTCACTCGTGAACAAGACCCCGAGATACTTGAACTCCTCCAGCCAGGAGGCTGCCAACCACCTTGGTGACCTCCGCCAGGGAGATGGGAGTATCCGCCCCAACATCCTCAACCTCTGCCTCCATGTGACGGGGGGATTGAGGAGAAACCTCAAAGCATTCTTTCCACTGCCCGACAATATCCCCAGTTGAGGTGAGCAGCTCTCCCCCCGCACCATACACGGTGTTGGCAAAGAACTGCTTCCTCCTCCTGAGGCGCCGGACGGTTTTCCAGAATCTCTTCAAGGCCGACCGATAGTCATGCTCCGTGGACTCTCTGAATTACCGGGGGGAAAAAGACCAGTGTACCATGGGAGCCCCTACCAGGGGCATAAAGACCAGTGTACCATGGGAGCCCCTACCAGGGGCATAAAGACCAGTGTACCATGGGAGCCCCTACCAGGGGCATAAAGACCTGTGTACCATAGGAGGCCCTACCAGGGGCATAAAGACCTGTGTACCATAGGAGGCCCTACCAGGGGCATAAAGACCAGTGTACCATGGGAGGCCCTACCAGGGGCATAAAGACCCGTGTACCATGGGAGGCCCTACCAGGAGCATAAAAACCTGTGTACCATGGGAGGCCTTACCGGGAGCATAAAGCCCCAGACAACATAGCCTCCAGGGTCATCCGAGTACTCAAATTCCCCCACGTTAAGATGGCAGTCCAGGGGGACTGCCAAGAAATGCAATAATTACAAACACAGGAGCCATTGGGCAAAGACCAAACATGTTAATAGATGTCCTTAAATGTTGCAGATCAGTAAGTGACAGAAGCATAAAGTGACAGTAGCCTAAAGTGACAGAAGCATAAAGTGACAGTAGCCTAAAGTGACAGAAGCATAAAGTGACAGTAGCCTAAAGTGACAGAAGCATAAAGTGACAGTAGCATAAAGTGACAGTAGCATAAAGTGACAGTCATAGTGATAAGGTCAGACACAGGTCAGTGATGGTTTATGACTGCCCTGCCGGACCAGCCTGAGAGTTCTTCAGTCCTGCACCGGACCGGTCCACGTTCTGTAGCTTAGGTCCTGGATCTATAGCCCGTCTGTAGCTTAGGTCCTGGATCTATAGCCCGTCTGTAGCTTAAGTCCTGGATCTATAGCCTGTCTGTAGCTTAGGTCCTGGATCTATAGCCCGTCTGTAGCTTAGGTCCTGGATCTATAGCCCGTCTGTAGCTTAGGTCCTGGATCTATAGCCCGTCTGTAGCTTAGGTCCTGGATCTATAGCCCGTCTGTAGCTTAGGTCCTGGATCTATAGCCCGTCTGTAGCTTAGGTCCTGGATCTATAGCCCGTCTGTAGCTTAGGTCCTGGATCTATAGCCCGTCTGTAGCTTAGGTCCTGGATCTATAGCCCGTCTGTAGCTTAAGTCCTGGATCTATAGCATGTCTGTAGCTTAGGTCCTGGATCTATAGCCTGTCTGTAGCTTAGGTCCTGGATCTATAGCCCGTCTGTAGCTTAAGTCCTGGATCTATAGCCTCAGTCCTCATTCTACAGTCTGAGTCCTGGATCTATAGCCCGTCTGCAGCTTAGGTCCTGGATCTATAGCCTCAGTCCTCATTCTACAGTCTGAGTCCTGGATCTATAGCCCGTCTGTAGCTTAGGTCCTGGATCTATAGCCTCAGTCCTCATTCTACAGTCTGAGTCCTGGATCTATAGCCCGTCTGTCCGTGGGAGCGGATCCCTTTCTCAAACCATGGGTCTCCCGAGGTTTCTCACTTTTTCCCACTGGGTTTTCTTATGAGTTTTTCCTCTGATGCAGGAGGGTCTGTTGGACAGTTAGTGTCCAACTAGAAGGACTGACATTTATCAACATGTGACATTTATCAACATGTGTGACATTTATCAACATGTGTGACATTTATCACATGTGTGACATTTATCACATGTGTGACATTTATCACATGTGTGACATTTATCACATGTGTGACATTTTATCACATGTGTGACATTTATCACATGTATGACATTTATCACATGTATGACATTTATCAACATGTATGACATTTATCACATGTGTGACATTTATCACATGTGTGACATTTATCACATGTATGACATTTATCACATGTGTGACATTTATCACATGTGTGACATGTATTACATGTGTGACATTTATCAACATGTGTGACATTTATCACATAATGTGTTCTTCATGTGTTTTAACTGTTGATTCTCTGATCTGTGTTGGTGATTTCAATGGTTTTATTAAGTCTCTTAGATGATACTGTTGTGAATTTAGGGCAATACAAGAATACATTGTATTGTAGGGCTGGGCGATATGGCTGAAAACTATATCACGATATAAGTCATTCATATCGGTCGATAACGATATATATTGAGTTTTTTTTTTTTACCTAAATAAATATATTTGTGGTGTGGGCTAACCAACCTTAGCAGCCTTGTTTACAGTCACGGGGCGATGAGGCTGGAGGAATATGTTCACACTGTGTCCCTCGTTGTTAGTCCTGGTTTAATCCTGGTTTTTTATTCCTGGTTTAGCTCCTGGTTTAGCTGTTTGAGGGTCTTGTGTCCCCGTGACCGCTCCGTGCGGCTCTCTGTGCTGCACATGCTTCCCGAGGAAAAAGTTAATCTCTTGCTTTGGCTGAATACATGGTGTCTGTCCACTGCCTCGACCGCCGCACATGTTATTCCGCGCACGTACGAGCACAACCATTGACACTGCATTGAAACACAAGCTATAGATCCATGGACGCTACGCATGCTGCGGTTGTTGTTGTTTTTGTATTTCCCACAAAGTTTTGCGGTTCCTGCTCGGCTGTTATTGGTCGAGAAGCCTCTGCCTACATCCCCCACAATGCCATGCGCTTATGAGTCGGCTTTACTTCCGGTGTTTTCTTCCTGTTTTTCCTGACGGAGTTAAGTTAAACTATCGAACATTCTATCGACCCCATTCTCTATTGATATCGAACACATGTCTATCGCGATATATATCGTTATCGTTTTATCGCCCAGCCCTATTGTATTGTATTGTATTGTATGACGTTTTATCTAAGAAAAACCTCATACAACATACAATGGACTGGACTAGCCCAGAGCAAAAGCAAAAACTGGGGCACAAGGATCATCAACCGAGATGAGGGGGCCTTCACCTTGACTCATTTACATTTACCTGAACAGTTTTGTCTATCTGAAAAAACAACTATATTCCAACTAATAATATCAATGTATTAAACACACAGAGGGATCCCTCCTTCTGTCTTCTTGATGTAAACCTGAAGCTTGTTTATACATTTACCTGAACCGTTTTGTCTCATCAGTGAAGATGGTAAAAAAGAAAGGAATGGCATCTGATGAGACGACACCTGGTATCACTGAGAGTGAGTCACTGCAGGAAGCGGCAAAGTTCTCTGAGGCTAATTTACAACTAAACACACATCTAAAGCCACTTCTGCCTTAATGTCATACTAACTGTGGTCACAAAGCATTTAACAATAGCATGATCATTACCAACATGTGAATCATTATGGCTCTCCTCAGCTGCTGCTTTTCGTGACACAAAATGCTGCATGAAAAAAGCCCAGCCTGAGTCCTCGTTCTACAGTCTGAGTCCTGGACCTACCCTTATTTCCCACTGGGTCTAAAGGACAGTGTTGATCCGGGACATTTCCATCCAGACCACGTGTAGAATTAGGGTTGTGTTCGAACTGATTCTCTTATCTGTTGTTGGTGAATTAACAACTTTGTAAAGTCCTTACGAGGAGTCTGCTGTTGTGATTTAGGGTTGTACACAAATCAATTCTAAGATCCTTCATCCGTTTGCACCAAATCACTAAAGCAAATCTTTGAAGGACTTAGGGATAATTCTACTGTTTTCAGATTAGGATTTAAATATTGCAGTAACATTAAAGTACCATCAGTGTTCATGTTGTGTATTTAAATGTATCCTGTGACTCAGTGCAGCAGGTGTGTAGTCATTGTGAAAGCACCACTTGTCACATAGAGGCTCCATGGTATCTCATCCTGAGTCAGTATCAATCACAGGGTAGTAACACAATGAAGGCACTTTACAGCCCCCAATACCTCCCTCAAACCTGTCCTAGTTTAGGTTTTCCAGCACAGCAGATCAGAATGACCACATTGTGTAAAATGTCTCGTCTTAAAATTCTATAGATTTTGAACTTACAATAATTTACTAAATTGTGGCAGAACGTCATAGCAGGATTACAATACCATACATTAAAAAAAGCTTAAGAAATCATACTTTGAATCCACCGTCCTACTCGGCTCAGCTCTACTCTACCTACAGTA